AATAGGGACTGCTACTGATTCTGACAAATTTTGCAAAAACAAACTGCTTCTGAAAACACAGGGAACCATATTATCCTGGATAAAGAAGGCACAGACAATTAGCTGGGCACCAGTGACTCAGGCCTACAATCCTAGCTATTGAGCAGACTGACATCTAAGGATCAAGATTTCAAGTCAACTCAGGCAGACAAAAAAGACAAATCTGAGAAATTCTTATCTCCAATTAACCAGCAAATAAACTCGAAGTAGAAGAATGGCTCAAGTGGTAAAGTGTCAACATTCAGTGAAAAAGCAGAACAAGAGCATGAGGTCCTGAGTTCCCTGCCCCCTCCTCTCCCCAAAAGGGCAATCACGAACCCAGAAAGAAAATCTTGCCCAGGAAGAAACTGAGGCACAAGGCCCAAGCATGTTGAAAATGAAGACAGAACTCTAACTCTGCAATTCCTTAACTCTTAATTTATCTGAGAAGATTAACTGTTGCCTGGCAGAGACCTCTTCAGTTCCCCAAACCATAACCTCCAAGAACTCCACTGTCAATTTTGAAAATGTTACTAGTGACCAAGCTCTGCTAATTGTCTACTAGAGGGCAGATAGTACAGTATCAGTTCACATTTATCTGGAAAGAAAAAAGCAATCTTCAACAGAACAGATGAAAAATTAGAACTAAAACAGGAAGAATTTACAAGAATAATCATTCAAAGATGATCATACATACCCATTTTGTTCCATAAAAGCATTTTGGTAACTTACCTATTTATTTTCATATAATCACCTTTAGAAAATATACTCAAGAAAAAAATATATTGGGTATAGAATGCTATGATCTGAACAATGAAGCAAAGCAAGGTTAGAACTAACTTATTTCTAAGTTACACCAAGTCAAACCCTAAGGTTATAGTGCCAGCCTTTACCTCCAGTTACACTTTCTAGCTGAGGTTAGAATATTCCCCTAAATTGTTAATACTCCAGAAAAGTAACCTCATAGTTAGCTTCACTTGTCAGAACCAGAACATAAGCTGTGCCTCTCCATTCATATCTGAGGTCAACTGCTCATACCTTCTGGTGTTCTACACAGCTTTGTGGGAAGACCAGAGTAGTTTCAGTTACACACCAGTCTGAAAAACAACCACTTAGAAAATCTTATAAGCAAAACAATGTATGAGTATGCATTCAAATAGAAAGTGATTGTGTTGTCACTTATAAAAAGTAGCTTTACTGAAATGTGAAGCCAGTGCAACAAATGCAGGGCCTATCCCTTAGTTTTTTGCTCAAGGCTGGTGCTTCTACCACTTAAGCCATAGATCCGCTTCCAGCTTTCTGCTTAATTGAAAGTATGTCTCAAAGACTTTTCTCCTAGCTTTGAACCTCAAGCCTCCAGATCTCAGCCCATGGTGATTTGTTTTTTTTTTTTGAGGGAGGCAGTCCTGGGGTTTGAACTCAGGGATTGGGCACTGTCCCTGAGCTTCTTTTGCTCAAAGCTAACACTCTACCAACCACTTGAGCCACAACACCACTTCCAGCTTTTTTTATGTGGTACTAAGGAATCAAACCCAGGGCTTCATGCATGCTAGGAAAGCCCTCTTACCACTAAGCCACATTCCCAGCCTACACGCTAAATTTTAACTCAGAAAGTTTCTAAACTTTAAAATTTTCTTTGGGGGAAGTGGTGCTGTAGCTCAAGTGGTAGAGCGCTCGCCTTGAGCTGAAGAGCTGAGGGACAGCACCCAGGCCCAGAGTTCAAGCCCCACGACCGACAAAAAAAAAAAAAAGGGCTGGGAAGGTGGCTCAGTGGTAGAGCACTTACCTTGCATGCCTGAGGCCCTGGGTTCGATTCCTCAGCACCACATAACCAAAAAGAAAAAAGCTGGAAGTGGCGCTGTGGCTCAAGTGGTAGAGTGCTAGCCTTGAGCTGAAGAGCTGAAGGACAGCGCCCAGGCCCAGAGTTCAGGCCCTATGACCGGAACCCCCCCCAAAAAAATTTTTTTTCTTTGGGATTGTATCAAAGAAGAGGGTATAGTGCAATACATAGTGCCTGTGGGACCCAAAGAAGTGAATAAGGATGACCAGGATGAAGGAGTTATCCTCCTATATACACATCTGCCAAGAGCTTGTTTTTCTAAGGAGTGCCATGACCCTCTGTCAAGAGTCCTCTCTGAAAAGAGACCTGTTTAGATGGCACTGGCCATGGGCTTCCACTGTAAATTCCAGCAGCTCCCTTTACTGAGGAAGCTCCTTAGTGCTCATGAGCATGAGGACAAAGCAGACCTAATGTATAGATGCAATCTTCTTTCACAAATCAGAGGTGTAAGTCTGCTAGGAGAAAGCATAAAGTGTGAAATAGTTTACTAATCTTTTAACATGGAAACAACTGATGTACAGTGGAAGAAGTGCTTAAAAAAAAATCTGAAGACCTACCTGAGTGTTGGTGGCTCACCCCAGTAATCTTAACAACTTAGGAGGCTGAGATCAAAGGATCCCAGTTCATGTCAGGAAAGTCCACAAAAGTTTTATCTCCAATTAACCAGCAAAAAGGCACAAGCAGAGCTGTGGCTCAAGTGGTAGAGTGCCAGCCTTGAGTGAAAAAGCTAAAGGACAGCACCCAGGCAGTATTCAAGTCTAGTACCTATACACATACATTAAAGAACTGAAATCTTCCCAACTGATGAGTGACAGGCCACCTTATGTGGGAACTCCAGTGTGATCTCAAACATCTAGCTGAGAATGAACAAGGAAATGGCTTTATGACAAAAGTACCCTTCTTTGTCAGGTAACAAATCCCACAATGAGTGGGGGTACATTCTGCATGGGGCCTGGATCCCACTAGAAGCCTTAGAGGGCAAGACATTCCCTCTCTCCCTATTTTGCAGGAGAGAACAAGTCTGAGAAGCTAAAAGAGTTGCTTGCATCTACAGACATAAAAATTGGTGAGCTATAATTGAAACTGATATTTGATTCTTTCCACATTTCTTTGTCTCTACATTGGATCTGGTCATGTTCTGCCAAAATGGAACATTAACATTAAAAAGTCTTAGAAAGCCAGGTGCTAGTGGCTCATGCCTGTAATTCCAGATACTCAGGGACAGCACCCAGGCCCAGAGTTCAAGCCCCACCTCCACCAAAAAAAGAAAAAAAAGTACTAGAAAAAAAAGTACTGCCAAAAAACAATGTTCTGACAGTAAGATTTCTATTTTAACCAACATTTAAAAAAATCCTACCAACTTTTAATATTGTATCAATATTGCATTATAGGTTGAATTCTGTCATCCCTAAAGTCATTATGTTGAAGCTATAAACTGCATTTGGGCAAGGTCTTCAAACAGGTGATTGTATAGCCTGGTATGGTAGCACACATCTGTAATCCCAGAACTTGGGAGGCAGAGGATTATGAGTTTAGATACCTGGAGATATATAGCAGTATCCTGCCTAGAAACAAAAAGAAAACCAGGTAATTACAGTAATGTGAGAGGCCCTTAGAGACTCAATCTAGCTGCTGTCTTTATATGAGATTAGAGCACAGACACAGAGGAATGACCATGAGAAGACACAGCCAAATGCAAGCAGAAGAGAAATCTCAAAGAAACCAACCCTCTCAACAACCAGATCTCTGCTTTCCAGCCATAAATATCTGATGACTACACTACCAGATCTGTGGAATTTAGAGCAGCCCAAGCTGTTACACATTAGTATGCATGGTACCAACTCAGAAACAGTTCATGCCTTTGTCTCATCAGAGCAGGACTCCTTTTAAAGACACAACTATCAGTGGGAATTGGCAGGGGAGTTGTCCCACCACATGGTGGCACAATCACTCAGAAGGCTGGAGCCCATGCTACACGGTAATACTGTGTCTCAGGCCTCTTGGGAGATGACACCTCTGGTCCCAACGTAAGGAAGATTGTGAACTGTCACCTCAGACCTGTTTAATGTTTGACATACTATTTTCCTCTGCAAATAAGAAATAAATAAACAAATAAAATTGTTGTCCTTTCGAGTGTGTAAATAAGATTAGAAAGAACCAGGAGCCAGGTACCAGTGGCTCAGGCCTGTAATCCTAGCTACTCAGGAGGTTGAGATCTAAGGATTGTGGTTCAAAGCCAGCCCAGGCAAGAAAGTCCATGAGACTATTATCTCCAATAAACCACTAGAAAACCGGAAGTAGCGCTGTAGCTCAAGTGGTAGAGCACTCGCCTTGAGCTGAAGAGTACAGGGACAGTGCCAGAGCCCAGAGTTCAAGCCCCACAACCAGCCCCCCCAAAAAAGAACCAGGAAAACTTTCTTGCTATTGACTCATGAAGAGTTTATAGAACAGCTCACACCACCTTTAACTTCTAGCTATGCAGGAGGCTGAGATCTGAGGAACACATTCAAAGCAGCCTGAGCAGTAAAGTCCCTGAGACCTCATCTCCAATTAACCACCACAAAGTCGAAATGGAATTAGGTGATAGAGCCCTTGCCTTGAGCTTTTAAAAAAGCCTGAGCACCCAGGCCCCAAGTTCTAGCTCCAGTACCAGCAGACACGTGCACACGCACACGCGTGTGTGCGCAGACACACACACACATAAATGCTACATTTATCTTGCTGATTGAAACTAGGCCACATACAGGTTTTAGCCTTACCTTCATTTCTCTACTACCAGTGGTGCTAAGAACTTAAGTTTTTGCATTTGCCAGTCTCACTGGTGTTATGAATAAAGGTGCTATAAATAAACCTCAAATATATGTAAAAAAAAATAAAATAAAATTCTTCCTAAGATAATTCCTTAAGTTTCAAACCTTAAGATAAGCAAACACTTCTAATTCCTGTGAAGTTGAAAGCTTTAATAGTAAAAGATACCTAGAATACTACTGTTCTCAACTGTTATTCAAACAAGACTTCTATCTATACCTGATATTGATTAATTGGTGCTGAAGTGGTCATTTGATTTAGAAACTTCCTTCCAAGGCCGATTTAATGAACACATCCCATTTTTGCTCATGAGCACAAAATCTACAGTCAGAAGTTGCACATAAAGGGTTTATTTTGAATTTTTAAGGAAGGATGGAGTTACATCATAATTATAAAAATTACTTACAGAATTGACAGATTTATACTGTGTATACGTCTAAATGCAGAGAACAGGGAATTGTCTACACACTGTATAAAATAAAATTAAAACAAAATAAATTCAAGCTTGAAAGATGAGGTCATTTAGCTAGTTTTAAAGTGTGAACACGAAGACCTCTGAACTATGCACATTCATCTGAACTGCACTAATGATGGAGAATACAAAGAGCGCAGCATTTCCAAGGAACCACAGACAGTTTGACCTTAATTGTTTTGTTATAATAATTGTTCCCGTTTCGTCTTTGGAGGACTTTCACTTTGTTTTGTTTTTGTTTTGTTTTGTTATTTTAAGACAATCAGTTTTGAATGTTTTCAGGCACTACAATTTGTGACAATCAAAAACAGTCTTCTAATGGGTCTAACAGTGTTCAGAGATTCAAGCCCAATGCACTTCGAGGTTTGGCACATAAAACAACAGAAACGAAATCTGGCTTAGAAGTCACTGTGATTTTGTAGGGAATACACAGTCCCTTCAAATGCTGCATGACATTTACAACTGGAAAATCACCTTCGGTTGGCACTACATCTGCTTCACCAGTGCATTTTTTTTATCCTACAACCACTAGAACAGCACAGTAAGCAAATATACAGGAAACTGAAAGTAAAAGAAAAAGAAAAAAAGAAAACAAAACAAAACCTAAATATCTTTAACATGCAATTTTAGTTAGTTACATTGAACATTCTACTTAGAATAGAGCATGCAAAAAGGATGGTCTGCTTTCAAGGTTCTTCTCTGAAGTTATTTTTTTACGTGGCAGCCTGACATCACACACGCACGCACACACGATACAATACTAGAGCAGGTAAATGAGAAAGGCCAATAAATTTTATACATAGATTCATGTCTTGTGTTGCCACAAGTCCCATGATAATTTTGGAAATAATGTTAAATTCCTAGGACAAGGAATCAACATCCAGATACCAGGAAAATGCAAGCAATGCATGCAGATCTGAAACATGAGCCTAAAGTGAAGCCCAGGATAAGTGGGCTGAGAGCAGAGTGACTTAAGTCACAGTGATAGCCATTCACTGTGGTGTAAGCCACCAAAGAGAAAAGAAAAAACGGGGAGAAAAAAATGGAAACAAAAAACAAACAAAAAAAACCCTCCCCTTTCTCTCGGCTCTAAAGGCAATAAATGGAACAATGATTAAAACCATCATTATCATCATGTTACATTCCTCTAGAGACTGGGAGATCATGGGTATATTAAAGTTGCTTGCAGAAAAACCACAATGCAAGCCTTTATATAATGTTACAATTATTTCAATTGACCCAACCCTCAGGATACTTCAAAAGGAACTTTACTTTCCAACCTGAAGTTTCACTGCACCATGTTCTGCACTGTGTGCATGTTGAACACACTCAAGTTGTGCCACCAATGTCAGTGTGGGCTCTGGAGGCCAGGCTCAGCTTTGAGATTTACATGCATGGGGACACATGGCAGATCTGCAGGACGACACCTGTTTGCACACATGACAAGCACCTAAGACTGGGATCCCACACAGCTTTGAGAAGCTCGCCCTTGGCTGCCCTTGGTGAAGTGGTGGGCACAGGGTGACTGTGTGTGCACATGGTGAGTGCTCACTACCATCTAAAAAAAAGCACAAGTCATCTGCCTTTGTGAAGGCTGGAATGGAAATCAAGCAAACCATGGAATGATCTGAGTATGGAAAACAGCCCCAGCAGAAGTCAATACAGACCTCAGAACCAAAGTTCTGGTGTTTGGCTGACAGCATGCACCCTGGGTAGGCTCTTTGCCCAAGTACAGGTAAGACCTTTCAATCTCCACAAGAGATTGGTTTCACATACAGTCTTCCTCCAGGCTGTCAAACCAACAGGGTTCTTCCAATGAGCGAAAGTAGCTGTCTGATTGACTGACAGACCTACCACATTTGCATTTCCATTTCTGGTTCACACCACTTTGCAAGAAGACACCATGAAAGGAATCTGTGGCAGAGAAATGCTAGTGCACCCACAAGCCAACCTGGATGACTGGGCTTTCTACAGTAACACATGACTGGCATGCAAAACCCCAAGGGCCATGGAAGAAAACAAACCCACACTAACAGCAAACCTGGAACAGAACATACATCATCACAAAAGGTGTCAGAGATTGATGACGCCATTATTTGTGAGACATTCTTAGTGGGGAGAAGCCAGAGAGGGGAGAAGGGGAGAAACCTTCTGACCATAATCATGTATCAACAAGAACAAAAATATAAAATAAAAGTCCCAGAGAACCTGTTAGAAGGCAACAATGCCATTCTTCAAACTTGCATTTTTCATACAAAAACTGTTCTTCTAGGAACTTAACCACATACACACAAATCACTGATGTTCTGTTGCCTTTTAAATCAATATGCTAAAATCTAGATTACGGGTTTGTACAAATAACGGACCAAATGTGCCATCCAAAATACACCTACATTATACCATGTGGACCAAGGACCTGGGCTTTACTTAAAAAGCATTTATAACGTGATCAAAATGTAAACAAAAACATTTACAAAGCTTAGAACTGAAGGCAGTCTTTTATCCAGATTTCTCACCAGCTTATCAAGTTCTAATGTGGGGTCATTAACTATTCACAACTAAGTCATTTTTGGGCTTGTGGTTGAAAGCCTCCAGACAAAAAGGTGCTCTGAACCTCTGACTTTCAAAACGTAAATGTCCCTATGTGCTTCCTGGGCCCCAATTTAACTTTAAATAAAAAGCAGGCATATCATGACTGACTTGGGTCAAGCGCTCCTGTTAAACTGGAGAAAATTTTATCACCCACATCCCAATCCAAGAGGAAAGGACTGCCAGTGGTGTGTGTGCCTGGGTAAGCTGTGTGTATGTATATAATTATATACATTGGCACACAGACACAGGTAGACAGGTAGATAATAGATACACAGCTCTCAAAAGAGGCAGTAACAAAATAACGAACTATGCTTGCATTGTGGCAGCAGAGTAAGACAGTGTTAGAGTGAAAAGAAATGGTTAAGATCTATCCAAATTGAAATGACCATTATAATTAGCTTAACTTTTACCAAGCTTGCCGGAAACTCCCCTCCCAACAGACAGACTTCTTTCTTGCAAGAGGAAGGAGTTCTCCTCACACAAGATGCTTTGTGTTCACGTCAATCTGTACTACTCAGAACAAAGCCAGTTCTGCTGGCAGAGATTGTGGGTTCGCAGGGACATTTAAGCTTTCATTAAACTGGAAAGCAATCAAGTCTTTATGTCTACAAATTATACACTTAATAGTTCCACAAATTTGGCAAAGTTCGTGATGACATCTAGGATGTTTTCACCAAATCGTAGACATAAATATGGAAATCATCATCAAACTTGATGAAATAGACGGATGGTTTGGCTTCTACTTGGTGAATGACCATGCCAGTCCTTTTGGAGCCATCTTCTTTGGCATATTCCACTTGTTTGCCCACCAGGCTGTCCACAACTTCTCCTGGTTCTCTTTCTGCTGGAGGAGAATCATCTGTTTTTCAGAGGGAAAGAAAAAAAAATGCACCAATTTTTTAGATATACACCAAAACACAGGTTAATTTTAACAATTACAAAAGACTGTTTTTGTTTTTAAAAATCCTGAATTCTTCATGATCATCTAGCAGCCAGCCGACTTATTTTAAATGGCAACCCAGAGCTGGGATGTAGCTCAGTGGCAAAGCACTTTCCTAGCAAGTACTAGATCCCTAGTATCAAAAAAAGAAAAAAATATACAGCTAAAGGGCCACCCAGTAAATACTGCAGGCCTGAGGACCATGCGGCCAAGCAACTGAACTTTGTGAACACAGTCAAGAACAGAGAAATGTGTTCCAATAAAACATCCCCTTACATAAGTGTTTGCCAAACCCAGACAGATAGATGAACAGTTAAAAAAAACTATAACCAAAATCCCTTTAACTCATGATAAATTATAGATGATATTCCTAAAAATAATTTTGAATGACTCTGAGAAAGAATTTTCAAAGCAGACAATTGCTATAGTATTTACTGGGAATATGACACTTAAAACACTTTTTTTTGGTGTGTGGGGGGGTCGGTTGTGGGACTTGAACTCTGGGCTTGGGCACTGTCCCTGCACTCTTCAGCTCAAGGCAAGCGCTCTACCCCTTGAGCCACAGTGCTACTTCCAGTTTTCTGGTTTATTGGCGATGAGAGTCTCCCGGCGTTTCCTGCCCAGGCTGGCCTCCTGAGTAGCTAGGATTACAGGGGTGAGGCACCAACGCCCGGCTAAAACACTTTTTTTTGATAGTTACTCTAAAAGCTCTTACAAGTTCCTTTTCCCTCAACTTCACTGAATACTACATCATTTTCCTAACCCAGTTGTGAAAGAAAAGAAACTATCCATGTCTTAAAAATAGGTGCCAAGTAAACTACAACCATAGCCCAAAATACACAAGAATCTCTGATGATGACCTAGGCACCTGGGCAGTGCCCCATGGCTCTCTAGGAGAACAGATTGACAGCAACCATCATTAACAAAAGCAAAAACAAAGTACTGGAGCAGGGGTAGGGGTAAGTCTATTTTGAGAAATCCCTCCTGTGTCCTGACTAATTCAAGATACTTTTCCTTATAGAAGCTGACGGTGTTCAGGTATGGAGACCAGATGTCTCAGTTGTACTAGTTAGACTGTGCTATCCTGGCATAATTAGCAGTAAGGTGTCATTATACTCTTCCAAGTATCCAAGTTTGGACCATATAATGTATTTATATAAACAATAGTTTATCTTTTTGATAGTTCCTTCAACTGAATGACTATCTGAACATTGCTTTTCTGATCTATGGTAGAAATACTCACATGTAGTACAAATTAAGTACACATACATAATCTTTTTTTTTTTTTTGGTCGGTCGTGGGGCTTGAACTCTGGACTTGGGTGCTGTCCCTCAGCTCTTCAGCTCAAGGAGAGAGCTCTACCGCTTGAGCCACAGTGCCACTTCCAGTTTTCGGGTGGTTAATTGGAGATAAGAGTCTTACAGACTTTCCTGCCTGGGCTGGCTTTGAACGGAGATTCTCAGATCTCAGCCTCCTGAGTTGCTAGGAATACTGGGATGAGCCACCAGTGCCTGACATAATCAGTTCTTTTAAACAAGGAAATGAAAATCTAAGCTGAATTATTTTCTTCTAAAATTCTCTTCCCTCAAGCATCATCACCTTTTTCCAGATCTTTGGAGTTTACATGTGTAACTCATAAATCTGAAAGAACTCCTGCTAAGGCTTATTCTATCAGCAGTACAGCTGGGACTGAACAATTCACCTCTTAGAGCATCACAATTTCTAATAAAATTCCATTCATAAAAACAGATGTTAAAAAAATGAAAAAATGAGTAAGCAAGTGGTTGGAAAGACAATGGTATGGCCATACACTTACTATTACGAGGACTTATTTTCAGTGGCAATTTTCTTACAAGAATGTTAAAAATAGCTGAGCCTCAGTGGCTTATACCTGTAATCCTAGCTACTCAGGAAGCTGAAATCTGATAATCACATTTCAAAACCAGCCAGGGCAGGAAAGTCCTTGAGACTCTTTATCTCAATTAACTACCAAAAACCTGGAGTAGAGCTGAGGGGGGAGTGGGGGAGAGAGAAGAAAAACAGTGCATTTAGCAAAAAAGGAAAGACAGCATCTAGGTCCTGAGGCTCAAGTGGCAAAGCACCAGCCTTAAGGCAAAAAAAGCTCCAAGATAAACCCAGGTCCTGAGTTCAAGCCCCAGGACTGACAACACTGCCCCCCCCCCCCAGAAACAATGTTAAAAATGAACTTCCGTGCAGGTTGAAGAAATGCTCTTGGGTAATTAAATTGCTTAGTGTATAACTGATTCCCATTATTATCTCTGTAACAAATGTAAACAAACTGGAAAAAAATCTTATTAGAAACTCAAGACCAGATGACCCTATTATTCAGTTCACTGATTTAGGAAGAACCTTAAAAAAAAGAACAGATGACTTCCATAATCCTAACATATGGCATGCCTGTCAGTTGCAATTTGTTCAAGACCAGGGATTTAGGTCCTGGGGCTTGAACTCTGGGCCTAGGCGCTCTCAGCTCTTCAGCTCAAGGCTAGTGCTCTACCACTTGAGCCACAGCTCCACTTCTGGTATTCTGGTGGTTTATTGAAGATAAGTCTTAAGGACTTTCCTGCCCTGGCTGGCTTTGAACCTGGATCCTCAGATCTCAGCCTCCTGAATAGCTAGGATTACAGGCATAAGCCACTGGCACCAGGTGGGATTAATTTTAAAAAGAACAAGTTTAGCCAGGCTTGGTAGCACACACCAGTAATCTCAATACCTGGGAAGCTGAAGCTAGAAGATTGTATTTGAGGTCTGCTTGGGATACATAGTGAAATCCTGTCTCAAAACACAAAATAAACCAGGCACCGGTGGCTCAGCAACCAGGCCCAGAGTTCAAGCCCTACAACTCAGCCCCTACCCGCCCCCCCCAAAAAAAAACCCACAAACTAAAATATAACAGAGGGTTGGAGGTGTCAGCCAATGATGAAAACATCAGGTACTCAGTTCAAGTCCTGGTCTCAGAACAAAAAATTTATAGTCCCAATAAGTATTGAACAAAACTCAGGAAACAAGCCTAACAAAAGAAAAGCAAGAAGAAAAAAAAACAGACTGCTGCGAGCAGGGGACTAGCAGGAGGGAGGGAGGCTAAGAAAGCAGGTAAAGGAAGCTAGCGAAACATAGTCAAAATAGATTATTTGCAGCTATGAAAAACAGAACAGTAAAACCTATTGAAATTTTTTAAGGAGCTGGGAAGGGTGGCAGGAGATTGACAGAGAGGGAGAGGATGATTGGAATATACTGTAAACATGTATGGAAAGATTATCACCCCCACCATAAATAGGCTAACAATTTTTATATCTATGCTCATAGATAAAAGATTTTAAGATTTATTAATATTCCCAAAATGTAAATATTCCACAGTGACTAAATACATCAAAATCCCAGAAGACTACAGAAATTAACAATTTCAAAATACTTATGAAGTTGCAAAAGACCCAAAATAGAAGCAATCCTGAAAATAAACACAAAAAGAAGGCTAACATTTCCAGGTTTCAAAACTTACTACTGGGGAGACTAAGGTGACCAACCCTGGCCACCTAGAAAGAACCTGTCTCAAAACACCAACCAACCAAACAACAAACAACAAAACCCACTCTGAGTGTAAATGTACAATGATACGGCCATTATGAAAATTAGTCTAACAGTTTATCCCAAAAGCCTAGAATTAGCATTATAACACAGCTATTATTCCACTCCCAGCTACATACTGAAGAGAAAGTAATAACAAGGGCCAATACAGAATCACTGACAGAAATGTTTACAGCAGAAACTCAAGATAACAACATGATAGAAACAACTCAAGCTACCATCAATGGAAATCAAACATTATTTGGTCATTGAAAAGAACGAGTACTACTGATGTTTGTAATGCGTGTAAAATATGCTAGCTAACAAAGCACATGATATAATCCAATCACATGAAAAGTCCACAATAGGAAAATCTATACAGAAAGTAAATGTTGTTTAGGGCCATGAGGCAGGGTAAGGAGTGAGAGATACAAGACATGTGGTTTCTTTTGATGGGATGAAAATCAACTGCTGTGGGGAACTGCACACCAGCAAACACGCTAAAACTACTGACTGGGTGTTGTACATGGAATGACTGCATGCATACAATTGCATCACAATGAAAAGGTTTTCATGTTTTGAAAACCAGGTCACACACACATCCTTTTTCTATTTTTCCCATGTGGTGAATTTACATTACAAGAGACTACTGTAGAAATAACTAAATGGTATTTAGGAGTCTAAATATTGATCCTGTAATCTATTTGCTACTCTTGATCTGTGGAGCTAGAGATTGAACATAGGACCTTATGCATGCTCAACAAGCCCTTAACCACTTAACCACATTAGAAGCACCCAATAGTTTTCTAAAATCAATGTTCTCTATGAAGTTCAAATATTTTTAGATAAAATCATCAATGACTAAGATTAGCTTCAAAGTTATTCAGTAAAGGAAGAATAGATAAAACAAGGCTTGAGATGATATAATAGCTGTTATAGGTGTTTTGTTCCTCGTACCTTCATCTATTTCTAAATAATAAAAATAGGGGCTGGGAAGGTGGCTCCGTGGTAGAGCGCTTGCCTCGCATGCATGAGGCCCTGGGTTCAATTCCTCAGCACCACATAAGCAGAAAAAGCAGGAAGTGGTGCTGTGGCTCAAGTGGTAGAGCGCTAGCCTTGAGCTGAAGAGCTGAGGGACAGCGCCCAGGCCCAGAGTTCAGGCCCCATCATGGACAAAAAGTATAATAATAATAAAAATAAATACGATTGTCAATAATTTTTCAGTAACTCATTTTATTTAGAAAACCAAGCAAAAGTGATTCACAAACATTTTCTTATCTAAAATTCATCACAAGAGGGCAAGAAAGTCCTATGGCCCTCTAAGATTCCCCCTGACTAAAATACATGTCCAAAAATAAAACTGTATCTGCAAAATAGCTGATGAAAGCAGGCACTGGTGGCTCATGCCTATAATCCTAGCTACTCAGGAGGCTGAGATCTGAAGATCACAGTTTGAAGCCAGCCTGGGGTCTTTGAGACTCATTTCCAATTAACCACCAAAGAGCAGCAAGTGGAAGCTGTGGCTCAAGTAGGAGAGTGTTAGCCTTGAGCAAAAAAGCAGAGACAGTGCCAAGGCCCTGAGGTTAAGCCCAGGACACCCCCTCCCCCTGCCCTACCACAATCACACAAAAGCTAATCAAAATCTTCAGTCAAAATCTAATCCCTTGAATGAGAACTAAGAGCTGCTAGTATATACTTACTAGAATCGGGCATGATGCGAAGGTCGCCCTCTTTGTAATCATCTAGGAGCTGGTACATGTACAAGACAGGGTCTTTCTCATAGGTGATATAAAACCATGTGTTCATGACAGGTGCCCGTGCTAAGACCATCCCCCTCCACTCATCTTTAGAGCCATCCTCTGTCTCAAACATATGCTCCACTGCTTTGCCAATCATCGTGTCTGCCAAGTGTGCATCACTGATTCGAGATGTTGCTGGGAATTAAAAGAAGAAAAGAAAGTTGATAAACCATCTTACTGAATATTTAAGATGAAGAATCACAGAGAGAGCTTTAAAAAGTACCTGCATACAGCCCATCTTGCTTCCCTTCATATTAATAGTAACCCGCTCAAAGAGGTTTTTTTTTGTTTGTTTTGTTTTTTTTGTAGGTCATGGGGCTTGAACTCTGGGGATTGGACGCTGTCCCTCAGCTCTTCAGCTCAAGGTGAGCGCTCTACCGCTTGAGCCACAGCACCACTTCCCATTTTCTAGTGGTTTATTGCAGATGAGAGTCTCATGGACTTTCTTGCCCAGGCTAGCTTTGAACCCTGATCCTCAGATCTCAGCCTCCTGAATAGTCATGTGAGCCATGGGTGCCTGGCTCAAAGAGTTTTTATTACTGCTGTTTTAAAAGAAGCTGGTAGCTTCTCATCAACACTGCTTCCATGTTAAAATCGTTTCTCATTAACCATGTTGTGAATATGTGATTACATCATTTAAAATGCTCCCTGGCTACCAGACCCAGGCTAGCCTGCCTTTCTTTACCTACAGGTTTTTGCCATGTACCTCCCATCCATTAGCTCCTCTCAGTTACTCCTTTCCTCTATGCAGGGCGCCTACCTCTGCCTGCTACTCTTCTGCAGTGCTTCAGGGATGGCTCCTTCTCCAGCAAATTCCCTTTGGGGAACTTTCCATGGCCACTCAGGTGGAAACAACCCAATGTCTCAGTCACACAACATAGTCACAGCTCTCAGTAGTAACATTCCCCATGGCAGGGCTTGTGCATTTGAATGGCTTCATGATAGCAGAGGCCTTCTTCCTCTATGATTTAATCAAATGGCCTACAGATCTTACCTACTCCAGATCTTACCTACTCCCTAATTCTTTTCAGTAAGTGAAAGTTTACCAGCTCCAATTTTTGTTTCTAATACTAGGGAAATTATAGAGGACCCTACTGATTTAGTTTCTCGTCCTCAAATTTTTGTTTTATTTACTTATTTTCTTTTGTCAGTCATGGGGCTTTAACTATGTCCCTCAGCAACTTTGTTCAAGGCTAGCACTCTACCACTTTGAGCCACAGTGACTTTTTTTTTTTTGAGTGGTTTATTGGAAATAAGAGTCTCATGGACTTTCCTGCCTAGGCTACCTTTGAACCACGATCCTCAGATCTGAGCCTCTTGAGTATCTACGATGACAGGCATGAGCCACTAGCACTCAGCCAGTCCTCAAATTTTAAATAAACATTTTTCTCTCTCATTGCACACCAATCTCTGTTAAAACTAATCAAAAGAACAAAAGTGAGATTTTTCTCAACAAATGGACTCCAGTTTAATCAGCCAGGTACAATGGTCTATGCTTACTTTGTAGTAACCATCAGAGATGACAAGGAATTCCCCTCTATGACACTAATGTGTACCCTATTACACAGAAATTTATATAAAACAGCTACACAATAAGCTTTAATTGAAAATAACAACAACAGCCAAAAAAGAGAAGCCTGATTCTATCAGCCTGTTAAGATCTAGTCTTTAAGCTTATGTATAAAATCCTGCCTCACAAAGATAACACTGTTGAAAATACTCTAAATGGCCTTTAAGGTAATTCTACATATTCTTCTTCAAAAGTCAACAGTTGACCATAGAATCTGAACAATTTCCAATAAACCTGTGCTGTTACATTAAAGAAAAAAAATTGCTTTCAGAATATGCAAAGAATTCTAGTAAGTCAACAATGATAATAAGAAACCTGATTTTAAAAATCATCAAAGACTTTTAAGAAACATTTCTCTAACCATGACAAATTGCTAACAAGCAAATTAAGAGAGGCTCAATATTAATTGCAAATCAAAACCACAATGAGCTGGATACCACCCCACACCTATTAGCATGGCCATAAAAAAAAGCAAGTGCGAGCTAAGCATGGAACCCGTGTGCACACTGATGGGATTACAAATTGGGCAACCTTGAAGCAAACAGTATGGCAGTTCCATTTACAAAAGCCAAATCAGACTTACTGGACGACCAAGCAATCTTATCTCTGGATAGATACTCAACTGAAAGAAGGATTTCAAAAACTATTTGTATACTTGTGCTCAAAGCAATACTATTCCTTTTACACTGCATCATTTTACAAACTACCAAGAAGTAGAAGCCCATCAGAGGGGTGAATGGATAAACAAAATGTGGTATATACATATACTTCAGTATTATTTTTAGCCTTAAAAAGGAAGGAAATCCTGTTACATGCTCCTACATGGATGAACCCCAACTATATTATTCTCAATGAAATAAGCTAGTTGCAGAACTCCTGTATGATACCATTTATAAGGTACTCATAATAGCCAAATTCAGAGACAGAAAGGAGAATAGTAAATGCCAGAGGAAAGAACGGGGAGCTGTTTAAAGGCAACAGTTTCAGACTTGCGGAGTGCTAAAGTTCTGGAGATGTATTTTACAACAACTGAGCATACCAATGCTCCTGAACTGTACACTTATTTTCAAATGATTAAAATATGCAGGTCATGGTTGCATGCACCTATTATCTCTAGGGGAGCTGCTGAGAGAGATGGAGATTAAGGAAGATCACAGTTTAAGGATAGCCTAGGCAAAATGTTTGTGAGACCTCATTTCAACCAATAAAAAAAGTTGAGCACAGGGACACACATTTGTTATCTCAGCTACGTGGGAAGTATAAACAGGAAAATCAGTCTATGCACACGTCAAAAGGAATATCCTATTTTTTTTAAAAAAAAAAGCAGAAAGAGGTAGAAGCATTGCTCAAGTGGTAGAGCCTCTGTTTAGAAACCTCAGATGAAAAGGAGAAGGGAAAGGTTTTATGTCTTTGACTCTAAGGTATAAGAACTGTCAGTGTTTCCCCTGCCCTTAGAATGGCTTTTACCAAGGTATGGTTTGTTGGCATCAGGTTTTGCTGAGTGGTTGCAAATGGGTAGTGGGAAGCTTCACTGAACCTATGAAAGCATGAGATAAGAGGGTAGATCCCATCTCAACATTATGAAAACAACATGGCCTTTCACACTTTTGGACTGGCTTCTGGGATCCCTCGGGGCTAAGGCCCTCAGGGACAGAGAAGTCATTGCAGTGGGAGCCATTGTCCTTTCACTATGTGCCTTTCAGCTGACTTTTTATCACCTTTAAGTAGAGGAAAACACAACTGTAAGTATAGTCCAATGTACCATCTCAAGTTTTCTTCCTATCTACAATATGAAGGGCAAAAACTTTAGATTCTAGTTTCAGTGAATAGTAATTTTAAATTAGAAGCAAATGACTATTCTCTAAATAAGGCACACGGTACAGAACTGATTTGCAGTAGCCTGGAGCTACAAGCAGTGCTACCTAACCTGGACCCAAACACCAGAGATACCAGTATGCTTTTTATCTATCCCATAATTACAAAAGGACAGTTAACCACTGGTAACTGACCAATACCTGACAAAGTTCAAGTGACCTAGCAGTCTTAACCAAGAATAGGTATAGACTAAAATTTGGTATAAAACATTGCATGACAATTATTTAGCATAAATAATTGATACAAGTTTTTTAATACTATTCTTTAAGTTCTGCAGGCAAGAGTCTTGAATATGTTAAAAGATTACAAACATGGGAATCGGATTGATTTTAAGATCAAGAATAAATATAGGGTGCACACCCACGAGGTAGAATAAAAATTTGCTGCTGTAGTAAAGATTTATTAATTTGTTGGGGGAAACTCTTATACTAAGAACACAATGGCACATTATGAAGAAAAACCAAAAAGGGGAATTAGGTTCTTCCTTTGCAATTTGATCCTAAAACTCTAGATCTAATGAAGTTTTATTTTTTAAATAAAATGAACCTTTAAGAGACAATTCTAAAAAGCATAACTCAGAATCTTAAGAACAAGAGCAACACTGTAATAATAAAACATTTAAAAATAAACACCCTTATGAAAGTAACAAGTATAATAATCATATATGTAATACAAAATAAAAATGCACCCCACACAAAGATTTAAAAGTCAAGCTGTAAGAGTTCCCTTTTTACTGTACATGATGACATCACAGGACTGATAATGATAATCTTATCTACTGGAGCCTTAGGTAACAATGAACAAAACAGACTGTAAGCTTCTTGGCAAATGTTATATAAACATTCTTCAAATTCTTTGGGCTGTGGTTTCAGAACATTATAGATTTATTTGTGGTTTTAGATGACTGATTTAAATGTTCATCAAGAGTGCTTAAGTCAAACAGAAGTAAAAATACTGTCAAAGAATAATCCAAAAACATGCATTTCAATGATCACTTTCAAAACAATAATGCGCAAATAGTTATAAATAAAAAAAAAAAACAACTTACCAACTCTGTCAGGGAGGACTTCAAGTGCAGAAACTCTTTCATCTTTATTAAGTTCTAGTCCATAAACACAGTCAAATCCATCATACTTTATAAGATACAAAGACGGATTCACAGGCACCTGGTCCAGGACAGTCCCCTTCCACTGGGTGACAGGGCCGTTGCCCTCTCTCCACCCATGCTGGATCCTGCAGCCTACGATGTTCCGCCGGGGCTGGGACACAGGCTTGCTGGGCCCCACACTGCTCCGATGTTTTCTGTATTCACATACACACACACACACACATAAGGTGTTATCTCACAAGTATTCATACTTAAGATCCAACATTAGCACAGACTGGTATGCTCTCATTACAGACAACATCAAGGCAGGTGCAAGTTCCTATTAGAAAGGTAGGTACTACTACCTGGACCTCCAACACTCAGGAAGCTAAGGCAGGAAGATTGGGAGTTCTAGATCAGCCTGCTGAGACCCAGTCTCAAGGAAAAATAAAGCAAACTAAAACCCTCCTATTTACCACATTCCTGCATCCAGAGATCTGAGTGGACCCTCATGAGTGAGGCCTCGTCCAGAACCAAGTGAGTAAAATGGTTTGTTTCCTGTGGATCCTGGGCTGGGAGTTACATCAGCAGCTCCCCTGGTTTTTAGCCTGGGCAGCCAGACTGCACTACATCATCAGCTTCCCTCTAGCAAACAGATCACAGACCATAGGCTTTCTCTCACTCCACACTACAGGTCACTTACACATAATAAATCATCACAATCATCCATCTCTCAATGGTTCTGTTTAAATACACATTATATACTATATACATGTACATATATGTATCCAGAGAGGAATATATATATATATATATATATATATATATATATATATATATATATATGGGCTGGGAAGGTGGCTCAGTGGTAGAGCACTTGCCTTGCAAGCTCAAGGCCCTGGGTTCGATTCCTCAGCACCACATAAGCAAAAAGAAAAAAG